AGTTTTCCGACGCAGCTGGAGATAGCAATCCCCCTATAGTTTGAGGGATTTGTCGGGTTACCACTTTTATATATCGGAACTAAGATGCTCTGACTCCACTGACGGGGAAAGTTTCCCGACTGAAGTGTTGTGTTGAAAAGTTTCTTTAAAGGTTTTAGAAGTTGTTTGTCGCCATATTTTAACATCTCGTTGATAATGGAATCAGTGCCACATGCTTTGTTGGTTTTTAGGTTTCGAAGACCTTCAAAAATTTCTCCTTCTGAGATATCAAAATCTAATGGGTTTTCTACTACGTTTTGGAGCGTACTAAGAATTTCGTCTGTGCATTTCGAATTTCCTGTGTTTGATGTCATGTTTTTTGCTGACAAGTTGAATTTTTCAGGCCATTCTTGACTGGCATGTTGAAGAAAGTCTTTATGGGGCTCATCGCTATCTACAAGATCATTTAGAGTTTTAAAGTGGGTCCTCCACTCTTCAGGATTGATAGCATTATCTTCTTTTTGTTTGTTATTGTCTTCTTGTCTTTGTGATTTAATTTCCCTCCAAAATTTTTGCGGGTTTTCCTCGCTTAGTTTTCTAAGATTGTTCCATTGTTTTTCTTTGTAAAGTCTTTTTTCGGTTTTGATTTTTTTCTTGTATAACTTTAAATTGCAAAAATAAGCATGGCGAATATCAAGTTTCCATGGGCATTTGGAAAACTGGGCGGCTAGTTTCTTTACTTTGTGTTTAAGAGAGGCACATGCGGGGTTGAACCAAGGTTTGCTTTTCTTATTCTTATCCTTTTTCTTTCTACTATTGTGAACAATTCTGCGGAGGGATTTATCAGCTAACCTTAGTGATTATATCAGAAAATTCCTTCACCGCCGTATCTACATTTACAGTAAGGACTTAACGGTAAAGTTTTGCGAATTCTAGCAATATCGAAGGATCTTGTAATGTCTCTGTGAATTTGGCTTTGGAGTCATCATCCCAAATATACTTTGTTGGTAATGGATGAGTTGGGACTTTAGCTTGTTTTAAGTAAGGTGAATAGTTGGTTTTGACGGAACATGCTATTAAACAGTGATCAGAAAAAATAGAGATATCGTCTACTTTGAAATATTGGACCTTCGCGATGAATTCTGAATTAACAATGCAATAGTCAATTAAACTTGAACCATTGTACTTGTGGCAGGTGAGTTTTCCTAGTTAGATCTCCTGGTACTCGACCGTTTACAATAGTTAGATCAGCTGCTGAGCAGAGTTCCATAAGTTGTTTGCCGTAATTATTTATTCCAGTGTCGCAACTCACCCTGTGCCGTATATCGTTTTTGTAGTTTATAAAATTGTTGTTAAGGCAGTCGTCTTGGATGATAGTTTCTTGTAAAGTAGCCGTTCTAGCGTTTAGGTCGCCTAGCAGCATAATGTCACCTTGGGTAGATAAGCTACTGATATCGTCATGTAAATGTCAAAAGACTGATTGTTGTTTGATTCGATACATGTTGAATATTCAGGGGAAAAGTAGACGCCTCCAACGAAAAGGTCCCGTTCTAGGCCAAAGTACGTTTTGTCTAATTTGCACCACAGAAAGTCAGGGTGTCTTGTGGGGAGTTTTGTTATGCCTTTAGCGTATTTCTGCCTGAACATGATAACTAAATGATTCTGATCTAAAGTTTTCTCCTGGCTTAAGCCATGTTTCCTGCAAGCATACTAAATCAAATTCTTCTAAATAACTAACAAAATCTTCATCTTGACTCTTGCGCCTAAGGCCGCCCTGAATGTTCCATGAACAGAACCTGAGGGCCACTTTTTGAATCGACATTTTAGAATCAAGTGCCAAAGGAGCGACTCTTAAAGGTATAATAACGATACGAGCATAGTTACATCTGTATGTAGAGTGAATAAATACAAAATTACTGTAATAGTTTTAGGAACCACAATTGTAACATGAAAAACATATTATTAGCACCAACAGCTATTATCGTTAGTAAGTACTATAGTGTTAGAAAAATGGAAGTTTGTCACCTGAGTAGCCTCTGGGGTACATGTTGATCACATGTTGATCGCTTTACGAATTCAAATTCAGTGTTTCAGAAAGTCTGTCAGCATGTTGACTAGTTTTTCTACCACGTGGCGTTTGTCTTGCGTCTCGGCCCGCATCGGCCCTGTCTGTCTGTTCAAGCTGGTCCACTGAGGAGGCGGCCGGGGTGCGGGAGGCGGTCGGGGTGATGGGTTGTTCCACGGGAACGGAGGGCACTGGTCGAGTTGGCTGTACAGCTCGCTGCCTCGCATCGGCGTTCTCCTCACCGGTTTTGTGTCCTGTCCATCAGTGTTCCAGCGCTGTCTGCGTGCTGTGGCTTCATCCTGGTGACGCAGTGTCCGCTTCACGTCAGCCACCATCAGACGAACCCCGGTGTCAGGCCTGATGTGTATGCCGTCAGGTTTGTACAGTGTCCTGTCCTCCGAGAGGAGCCTGTGGCGGATGTATGTCAGCTTATTGTCTTCCTGGCACGACCTCGATGGTGGTGTTGTACGACGCGATGTTTCTGTTCAGCCCAGACTCCATGTTCATCCCTCTCGGTAGGACCTGGGATATCGCGATTTTCGCATTTGGATAAGAAGATTTTGCAGCGTCGATCAGTTCACGCGTCTGCTCCACGCATATGTCCACGCTATCTGGGCGGGATTTTGTGTTGTCCATGTCATTCGATCCAACATGGATGATGACTAACTCGGTGGTGGTGTCTGGGGAAGTGTTGATTCTTTCTATGGCCCTCGGTAGTGTTGTTGATTTTACAATGTTTGTGTTTTTGTGCTTGTAGAGTTTGGTCGGATCGACATCGTTCCATAGAGAGTCTGCAAAGACTCTGACTTGTGTCGTCGCTCTTGTGTTCTCCGTTCGGGTTGACGCCGCTATGTCCCCGGCGGGGCCTGCCGGAGCCTGGGTGGCGGGTCCTACCGGTGACTTCGTAGCGGGACCTGTCGGTGCCTGGGTAGCGGGACCTGTCGGTACCTGGGTGGCAGGGCCTGCCGGCGACTTGGTGACGGAGTTTGTAACAATCTCAGAGTAGAGACGATCAAGTCTCGATTTGTCCCCTTGAGAGTCACTGCATTTAGGTTTTGTCGAGGTAGCAACAGTTTGAGCTTGGTTAGTCAGTAAGACGACTTGAGCCTGTAAAGCTTCATGGTCAGCTCTCTGGGAAGCGAGAGTTTCTGTCAGGCCATTTGTGATGTCGCGTTGACGCTGTAGTTCAGTCTTCAAGTCTTCAATGTGTTGTGCTTGTTTAGCAATCTCTTTCTTTCTGTTCTGGAGGTTGCATTGTAGGTTGTTGATGGTTTCCCCTTGTTTGTCTATCGTCTCCTTATTTCTGAAAACTAGCGTCTTCAACTCGTTTAGGTCGTCCACCAGCGCTGTGTATATCTGCTCGGCGTTACCCTCTGTGTTTGGCGGCTGCTCTTTAGGGGAGTTCTCGTTGATCAAGGCGCGCCGCGACCGGTCAGCTCGTTGTCTCTCCTCCCTACTTTTTCCTTTTGAAAATGGACTCAGAATAATGTTCTCAAGACCACCAAGTACCTTGCGGATAGTAGGGGAGGACACAGACTTTGGTGTTGTGTATTCTGACTTGTTTTCCTTCTCTACTGTCAAGTCTTCTACTACAGGCTCCGGAGTTGTAGTCTGAGTTGGATCGGCATCATGTTCCTGGCTGTCATTGTCGTCGGTGACTGTCATGGCGGCCGTCACGCTGTTAGAACTGGTGTCTATTGTTTCACAGTTGTCGTCTATTGTTCCGGTAGCTCCAGGTACGGCTTGGTCATTGTCAGGTCCGCCATCTTGTCTAAGAGACTCGCGGACCAGTTTGTTAACAGCTTCTTTAACTTTCGGGAAAATACTCTCCGCGTACCACTTCGAGCCTTTCCCATGCAGGAGGATAGTGCCAGTGTGGTAGAAATGGATGGTTAGGACTTTCCCGTTATCACCCGGTTTGGAAGGGTCCGTGACTGCTAGTTGCATGTCCTTGTTTTTCCAAGTACACTTGTATCCAGTATTGCTTTCAAGCGATCCATTAAAGTAAGCTTTGTTGGCATCTATCCACATAGGTATACGATCTGAATGTGTACGGACTTTGAGACTGCATACCTTGGTCTTCTCGGCATCCGTGTGGTCCTCAATGATTTCCTCGAACTCTTGAATATTCTTCGCCGGTGTGTTCCACGGCTTCGTCTTGGCGTTGCCTGATCTGGTCCTGTACTTCTTTGTCTTCGGCTCCGGTGATCCAGGCTCTGCGTCAGTTTTCTCCCGTCCCATGTTGATATATCGCAAATGATGGTTCAAAAATATGACGTATAAAACAAGCTATAGGAACAGGGTCTGATTAGGAAGTATAGATCACTCTACAACATATGTAACCGCTCGAAAGTTCACCTAGAGACGGAGCTCACGCGACGCGCGTACTTTCATGTCCGCCATCTTGGAATCGATCAATGTATTACAGCACCCACATATCTCTACGTGCACAAACAATGGTCTATAGGAGGAACTCTGACTATCCACTTCTTACCTGATGATATTTCCTGCTATTTGACGCACAAGATACTGCCAGTCACTGGCGAGAACCTGACGCTGGCAGCAAAAGTCGTCCACCTTGCAGACGACCGAACGTAAAAATGATCGCGTGACGCATATGACCAATCAGCGTCAGCGGAAGAAATTCGCGGGAGATTCGAAAAGCGTTCTATGATTGGTCTGCGTCAGGTTGATGCTTTTATGCCCATATTTGGACATGCCTCCGAATTCCTTTCTTATTACGTCACGCGCGTACGCCCCCACAGTACTTTCCTATGGGGACCGCTAAAAAGCAAATAAAACGATTGTAAAAGCTTGTATCAAAAAATTAAAAAAATACCTAAGGGTATTTTCCCACTCTACCTCTATACGAAATTACAGGTAATTTTGCCCAAAAATGAAGGAGTTGAATCAATTTAAAGAAGTGGCAGGAGAAGAAGGAGGAGAAGAAGAAACATCAGAAAAAACAGTATTTCACTCCATACTGAAGTATGGAGTGAAATAAAAACAACAGAGAACTGCAAATGGGTGGAAATAGGTCAATAAATGGTAACTTAAAGGTAGAGCATGCTTTGTAGGCTATGTACGAGTTAATCTAATACAAAATGATTGCCAAAATGTTACAGTTTGTATCTGAGTGTAAATCAGGTGATCCTCTAAGTGAAATGTTACATAAGAATTGTTCAGACATGTTATGAACATCAAAGATAGAGCCTACCAAGTTCTATAGATTGCTGAGTAGGGTGACTCTTTGCTGATTGTATACTGGGCAGTGTAACAGAAATGTATGGCGCTCTCACAACGAGACCGCAGATACAAGCTGCATCAGGGCTAAATTACCTTAAAAAATAAACTGTGGTTAAGACTACAGGTCCCGATGCGAAGACTTATTATGTTAGGTATTCAGTAATTTATTTTTGTATCAATTTAAATTTTATTTACTTATTTATTGTGTTCCTAGACCGACAGGGCATTTCCAGTATAAATAAAGTGTATTGATTGATTGATTGATTGATTGAAGACGCGTGATATATGAGGAGGGTGCAGGTGTACCTGGGGCCATGGCTATAATATGGGTAAGGGGGGGGGGATACTGACTTAACTAACTTCGTACTTTATAATACAATTATGAAGTATAAGGGGGGGGGGTCGGGAGGATTAGCTACAATGTTGATCTGTCTAAAGGGTCCGACCGAGGTGTTTTTAACTCTTCATCTTCTGTATTGCTTTAGATGTTTTGTCAATCCAATAAAGATGATGTCAAACACACTGCAATCATTTTTGAGCCCTGCTTAAGCTTGTTTAAAATGAAATCACCCGTTTCTAGGATCCAGGACCAGCTTCCAGGCGGTGCCTTGTAATGTCAGAAGTGTCCTGACAAACGATCCGTCCTTCCGGGCTACTGAGATGTGTCCGTCAATGTGGCTCCAGTACACATTCCCACCAGCATGGTCCAATCTTAGGCCCAGCACGATCCCTATATCTAACAACAGATGGAGATATCGTCATGTGTTGATTTGATTTGATTTATTAGGCTGATAACACATATGTATACAGCCAGGACTGCCCAACTAGCCGAAGGCTATTATAAAGGGCTAGCCCTCACAACAATAACATAAACAATTCGGAACAGTTAACAGTTAACAGTGCCAGTTACAATTCAGATAGACATACTACAAAAATGGAGGGGGTGTATTTTTATTCAAATTGCGTTGAAAACTTTGAACTTGCACAAATAGTTACATTTTACTTTAAGCTTGAAGGTGGATGTTTTAAACTGACCAAAACACAAATGAAGTGATTTTCCTAGCAATTTTAGTCTACAATGAATGCCCCTGTAGTACAAGCGTATACATTGTACATGACTTGTGAAATTCCGTGAGGCATACTGTACAACGATGATCAGTAACAAGAAATGGATTGATGAATATCACCCACCTCTAACAATGGTCTCCCACCAAGTTCCATCACGATGAGCCCGTTCGATGCCTCTAAAACTTGTCCAGTACATGAAGTCAGTCATAGTGTCGTAGTCCACTGGTGACATGGTCAAACCATCTGATATCTGGACCTTTGACCCGTTCTTGACATCAATTTGAAATATCCCATCATTGGTAGAAACCAACAGGAAAGGTTCTCCTATATTTTATGAAAGTAAACACGGAAAATAGTTTTTCTTGTTGTTAACAAACATCTGAGGTTCAATTTGCCATTACATGTACACATGTCGGTTTGTAAAATATTATCTTACAAAAATCTGAACATTTTGGACGTTTTTACAGAGTCATTTTAAATAAGATATTGTCAATATGTTTGTAAGCATATGTAATTGGGTATCGGTTCATATGTTTATAAACATATGAAGTTTTATGCATTACATATTGTAAAGATCAGATTGTAAAATACATTCTCAAAAAAATTCGATCATGTCGGTCTTCTATACAGATGTTGTAAATATGTTTGTAGGTATATGTAATCAATACAAAAATGATTAAACAATCCACGCTTCTGCAACATTTAACAAGAAGCCATAGGTAACAATCCTCCCTGAAGTTTTATATTTTGCAACAAAAATTATTCCAAGTGTCAACGCCAGACCTACTGTGAAGCCATAAGGCAACGGTTAATACAATGAGGGCACGTCACAACCATTAAACATAAAACGAACTAAATCCATTACTGCTCTCAGGGCGTGTAAAGATACTGTGTTTCAAGTTCGAAGTTCATTTTAATTACACACACACAATCATTGCATTCACATAAATATCGGACTAGTGTTTTGACTGCGAACACGAAAAAACGGCTCATCACAACACTCCGTCCGGAGGTCCTGACCTCCTTCACGGAGTAAACATGAAAGTACCTGTACACTCCACGCCTGCAGCTTGGTCGTGGCTACAGTTTAGATCGTTTATCATCCATCCTGGGTACGAGCAGTTGAACAGGCTATTCTCGTCCCCATTACAGCGCAGGTTATCCATGTAGATTGGCCCTCTTCCTGTAAAGAAAACGGCACCAATTATATCAGGCAACGATGAGATATGGCGAAGGGATAGGTATAAAATTCGTGAATTTTAATGGTTGTGGTACAATGTTAAACTTTATTCCAACACAAAGATACAATTTTCAACGAAGCTTGTCACCTTAATCGGGATAGTAAATGATCAATCACTTTAAAATGTAATTTTCTGAGTGTTTTGATTACGGATCTTACGAATTTATCACAAGTGCCAGGGAGTTTACATCGTCCACCGTCTCTGTTAAGTTATGGCTGGAGTGCCCTGATATATGGCCCTTTAAAACTTAGTCCTGTTCAGTGTCCAATACTCTAACGTTGTCCAATGAGACGATATGGCCCAGTGTTTCGATGTGGATGTACATTAACGATTATTAGTAAAAGGAGCCGGCGACAATTAAAAAAAATTATCTGCACTATAAGTCTTGTTGTTTCTGCTTTGTCAAACATTGTACCGGTTACAGATGTTGAGCAATAAAGTTGATTTGATATAGGGTCATGTTGTTTCCTTTATACTTAGTACATGACAAAAAAATTAGTTGAAACAAGGTAAATCTCACCTGGGCCAAAATACTCATCGTTACGAACTAGTTGGGCACTGGGGTAGCCGAGCATTTTGCAAACAACGTCTGCATCCTTTATGTCAAACTGGTTGTAACAAACTGTGCCCCAGGTCATACTGTCGGCCGGTCGGACTTCCACACGTCCTTCTTTCCGACTGGAGCCTCCGACAAGACGGATTCTGCTGTAATCTAAGCATGTTTTTTTTTAAGAAAGACATAGAGTATCTACTTGTCCCGTAAACTATATCGTGTATGATAAATCATCACAATTAGCCACAAATTGATACATTGATGCACGTGCATGCTGATCCATTAAATTTACTTGCTTTGGCCTAACAAGCTTAAGGCTCTTTATTATATCAAGTCAATTGCAAGATTATCTAAAAGTTCTCTAGTAGAAAGCAGACATCATGAACAACACTAAATAAAGTTATAGCCAGCTCTTCTGGAAGAATGTCTATCGAGTGTGGGTATTTGGCAGCCTCATCCCCTCCCCTGGAAGAAAAGCTGTCACCCATGGGTGGTCAGCTAAAAGAGAATTGTTCCTCGATAAACCCCAATATACCACAGTTTTAGCCAGCTGCCAGGATGTTTGTTAGTGCTGCTAATGTGTTCATTAAACAAGTCTTCTCATCAAACGCCAAACGTTGAAATGGTAAAAAATTACCAAATGCTCCACACACGTACCGCAAACAACGCCGACGACATCCCCATGACCGCAGTCATGAACCCTCCATCCCTTATGTGAACAGTTAAACAGGTTACTTTCTGTCCCATCACATTGTAGGCCCTCTATGTAGATCGGTCCCGTTCCTACAGTTTAAAAAGTTAACATATCACATATAGTTATAACCATAATTTTCCAATTTTGTAGATGTTGTAATACATTTTAAAGGTATTGCCTACGTTAATCGAGGGTCAAAAATGTGGGCAAATTTTGGGGATCTGTAAGTGGTTAGTACCGCCTCCGTACGTACGAAATCCAATGGATTAGGGTGCATGCAGACACGCCGTATCATTTTGCGTTGCGTTGACGTACTGCTCATGCCAGTCCTTCCCCACGTTTTCAGAATAATGTAGCAGACGTGGCCTCTTAAAAAACGTAGGAACAAAAAAAAACACGCAAGGCGGGTCGTGACTAAGGTAGTAACAAAAGGTAATGCAGTCCTTTTTGTACACACCGATCCATATGATTGTCAACATGTAACCTGTATCCATTTAGCACAGTCGGGAAAGATGTACAATAAACGTTATCAAGTTGTCATTTTGAAACAAGTTTGAACTGCGCCACGGTTAAGTCACATCATATACATACTGAATCACCTGGCCATTCAGTCTAATTGGTTAAACGAATAATCCTGAAAACAGAATCGGGATTTTTCGCACAAGGGATTAAAGAGGCCATCTACATCAGGGCATTACAACCATCCCTCAACAGCGACGGGGGGAGGGGAGGGGGCACAGACTTTCTGCAACCCATGATCCACTGCTCACGGAGTAACGTGTATTATCTGCGTGACGTCACGGAAGCGGTGAATTGCTCAATCCTTAACAAAGACTGGAGTTGTACAGTTAAAAAATTTGGTGAGTCCAATTTCTTGTGTTTGATATTGCAGTTCATACTTGTTTCATAAGCACTATAAAGGTCTTCATGCAGTAATACACTGAGAAAATAGTTCCAAATGATCTGCAGTATCATCATCATAAATACTCCTATGTGTAAAGAAAAGTTGTACCTCTGCCAAAATAGGCACCAGGGCGAACTCTATATACATTCGGATAGCCCAGCATCCTGCAAACAACTTCTGCATCTTCAAAGTCGAAACCGTTGTGACAAACTGTGCCCCATCTGGAACTGTCGGCCGGCCGGACTTCCACACGCCCCTCGTTTGGAGCGGAACGTCCGACAAGACGGATTCTGCTGGAATCTGAAAATGAAACAATCATCCCTATTAACGATATCATAGTAAATACATAATTCTTTTTATTAGAATATTGCATCACTGTTTATCATGTTACGATGCTAAATTTCATTCAAACAAAAAAGGTACACAAGAAGCAAATTTTAACCAACACTGTCGCCTTTATGATAATGATCAATGACCAATCACTTCCATACGTTAAACCCGCGAGAGTTACTGTTACAGACACGAGACCTTATTTACTTTACAGATACGTTACGTCAACAAACGTAATTAAGACGGAGAACGATATAAATTCCCCGTCACGTTTGGAGTGGCATATTAGTGGCATATTAGTTGTGTCTCACAAGGTCCCGTCTATGACTATGTAACCGTAACTCCTGCGCATTACCGTTAGAGTGATTAGTCATTGATTATCCTGATGAAGGCGATGTGGTCGTTTTTTAGTTATCGTGCTAAATCCCATTTTTAATAACCAAACGCTACTCAAAACATATTTAACCCCCTCCTTCTTTTTGCGGCAATGCCCATCGTCCATCTTTTCGTGGCTAATACGAAACGTGGGTTCGCCAGGCCTCCTTTTGGGTATTTTGTAGTAATTACCCACTTGCATGCCCCGAAAGGTGTGGTACAGTGTGGCTCTCCCCAAACACGGAACATTCATTTTATGTCCTATGCGAGGGACGAACCTAACTATTTAAGCTAAATACTAATTTTGAGTGAAGTGACGAAAGCCTTTTAAGTGCCTTTTCTGAAGGGACAACGTCGGGGCATGTAAAATTGAACCCAGGACCCATGGATTCCGGGCCGATTCTATCATTACGCAACGCGACGCCACCTAGGCGAATGTAAAGCACCATAGCGCTGGGGTACATTTGTACCCAAGTACGCGCATTAGAATAAAATGAACGTACTTGTACGACAGACCACGCCTGCGTCTTGGCCATGATCACAGTCGTGAATCGTCCACCCTGCGTAAGAGCAGCTGAAGAGGCTGGTCTCGTTACCATCACATCGTAGGTCATCCATGTAGATTGGTCCTGTTCCTGTGTTTTAAAAGTGTGCATCAGCAAGTTAAAAAAAGTCGATCATAAAGATATAATTAAAACAAGAGTTACGAGATCTCATACCTCCATGAAAAATGGGCTTGTTTATTATACTTCATTTTAACATGTCCTAATTAATTATGCAAATGACATCTATATCATCAAAATAATATATGTATAGTTGTGTTGATGATGTTCGTCCATCGCAGTCGATGATGACCCCAACTTCAGTCCTTGTGTGTCCGGGTGTGGCTGACGAGTCCAATTCTAGCACGGAAGCACCTGCCGCAGACGTCACACTTGTGCTCAGGTGGTGGCTGCAGAGACGGGTTTTTCTCCCTCGCCTTTCGTGCCTCCCGCTTACTGACAGCCAGGTTGATGCGACGACGCTCAGCATCGGCGCCCTGGTGGACTAGTCTGCGCCAATGGTGACGGTCAGTGGCAGCGTCCTCCCAGTTTTCGACGGGAATGCTGAGGCTCTTCAGAGTTGCCTTGAGGCTGTCCTTGAAGCGGAGCTTGGGGCGGCCCGCTAGCCTTTTGCCTTCAGCCAGTTCCCCATACAGCAGCATTTTGGGTATGCGGCTGTCGTTCATCCGTCGGACGTGTCCTGCCCACCTTGCTTGGGCTTTCTCTATGAGGGTGTGAATGCTGGGGATGTTGGCACGGGAAAGTACCTCCGTATCTGGGCTGTGGTCTTGCCAATGGATTTTAAGGAGTCTACGAAGGCATGTTGTGTGGAAGTGATTTAGTTGTTTTGCATGTCTTCTGTAAACTGTCCAAGTCTCACAGTCATAGAGAAGAGTAGTAATGACTACTGCCTGATACACTTTAAGTTTTGTGCTGAGCTTGATTCCCCTTCGGTCCCAGACATTGCGTCTAAGTCTCCCAAAAGCACTGCTGGCCTTAGAGATTCTGCCGTTCACTTCCTCATCTATGTTTGCCTGCCGTGACATGGTACTGCCCAAGTAGGTGAACTTGTCCACAGGGTTTAGGACTTGGCCATGTACTGTGACACAAGGTTCCTTGTAAAGTTTGCCGGGACGTGGTTGGTACAAGACTTCCGTCTTTTGGTGCTGATGATGAGACCAAAGTTGTCACAAGCCCCAGAGAACCTGTCGGTTGATACTTGCATATCCTGTCCGCTTGTGGCATTAAGGGCACAGTCTTTGGCGAAGAGGAAGTCTTTCAGGACTGTGTGCTTCACCTTCGTTAGCGCAAGCAGGCGACGTTGGTTAAGTACGTTAAGTTGGTTAAGATATGAAAGTAAACAAGTATGATTATCAAATGTAGCTGGTCATATGGACGTGTTATTAAAAAATGG